TGTTCTTTATTGTTGTGTAGTATTCCATTGTGTGGATATACCATAATTTGTTTATCCATTCATCCGTTGACAGACACCTAGGTTGATTCCATCTTTTTGCTATCGTGAATAGTGCTGCAGTGAACATAGGTGTGCATATTATCTATTCGTGTGAAGGCTTTTATTTCTCTAGAATATATTCCAAGGAGTGGGGTTGCTGGATCGTATGGTATCTCTATTTCTAGCTTTTTAAGGAAGCGCCAAATCAATCTCCAAAGTGGTTGTACCATTTTACATGCCCACCAATGACTTTTTTTTTAAGTCAGAAATATTGAGGAGGTAAAGCAAAGGTATATTTTATGAAAGCATCTTTAAAACAGCCATTGTCAGAGTGAATAACAGCACAGCCACATACATATAATAGTAAAAGTTTATTAAAATAAGGAGTATTTCTTCACTTTTGTTGACTTGTAGAACCCATCAGTGTTTTGATTGGTTGCTTCTGTTTTCATTCACAACTGCTAATAACTTTCTCCCTTACTAACCTAAGGAAGTGGTAAAAGTCAATCTCTTTCCTGTATGAGACCACACTTGGGGCTGTCTGTAGTATCTAGATATGGCTACCAGGACCAAACATCCTTGCATTTTAATTCAGGCCCACTTTGTTGAAGAATTCCCCACCCTCCTCTGCTCCCCACTTGGCTTAACTTCCTGTCTTTTATCAGCTACAATCTATTTAGACTCTGTAATGTGCTCAGAGCAGGGTAGAACAAATAAAAGTGTTCCACCTTACAATTTAAGGAAAGCAGGGGGCTAGTTTTTGTTTTAAGATAAAAATCTTTTAACAAAACACAAACTGTCCAAAACTTCCTTTAACCCAAACAGTATTGTCACACTTTCACAAGCTCTTATTACTTACACAGCCAGATGACTCAAGATTGCTAGCATTTCTATTCATAAGAGTTTGCTGGCCCCAAACCAACACATTCTGGCCCTCCCCCATCTTCCTTCCCTCTCCCCTGGGAGACTGACGTTTGGAGCGCTTGCTGCACCAAGTTTATTAGAATGAAGACCATGTGTGTTTGCTGCCTGAACTGTTTGTTCTGGGATTTAAAAAGCCCCCACTGCTTTTTAAAGTTTTTTTTTTTTTTGACGTAGGGTCAAAGGAAGGCAGAATCTCTTTGGCCTCCATACCGGTCGCCATCGAATAGATTCCGACTCAGAGTGACCGTACAGGACAGAGTAGAACGGCCCCATAGGGTTTCCAAGGCTGTAATTTTTAGGGAAGTAGACTGCCCCATCTTTCTCTCTCAGAGCAGCTGGTAGGTCCGAACTACCCATATTTCGGTTAGCAGCCGAACGCTTAAACAGTGCGTCACCAGGGCTCCCTTTGGCCTCTAAGTCTTCCAATTCAGAACTATATTGTAAAAATGGGACAGAAATAGATCAAGCATTTTGCTTTGCTCTTCACTGCATAACTGGGTATTCATATCGGAAATCACTTACATCCACCTTCCTTTTTGTCGCTCAGAGCCAGAGCTAGGAATGAGGGAACCAGAGCTCGGGTCCTGCCTTCCAAGGGGTTACAGCTGAAGCTTCCACTTCTGCACTTGACCCTCAGAAAAACCGACCCTTTCCCTTCCGATGTTTCACTTCACAGCTTCCTCCGCCAAGGCTGGGGAAAAAATAAAGTCTCTCTTAAACCCGAGTGCGTACCCGAGACCTTACCGCCACCCTCCTCCATCCTGGTGGCAGTCGTAGCAGTCGCCCCCTACTCAGCTCGGCGCCCTTTTCACACCCGTTCATAGCAGTGGACCCAGCCCCTTTCCCCCTTCGGTAGTCTCTCCCCCCCGCCCCAGCCCCCGAGAAGCGGCCCGCTCCCAGCTCTGTCCCTCCGCGGGCCCTTGCCCCCGAGCGCGCGGGCGGGGCGGGCAGGGCCGGGAG